GACGAGCTCACGAGACATTCCTTCCTGGGGGAGAGCACACAGCCAGCTGACAGCCCCCAGCCCCTCTTGCCACGACCCTGACCCCCTGCCCCACGGCAACGCCCACCAAAGGGTGCCAGGACGGCACCCACACTCACTTCCCATCCTGCGTCTTCTTGATGATGAACAGGACAACCCTCTTGATGAGCATGAAGAGGATGAGGAGGCCGATGAGCCCCCCCACAACGCCCACGATGATGAGCGTCACAGTGTTGTCTGTCTCCACCACTGCAGGAGAGAAGGTGCTGAGGGGCCTCGGGAGGAGAGTGGGGAGCTCCTGGCTGCACGGCGCCCCCCCCCAAGAGCACCAGCTGCCGGCCTGCAGCACAGCGAGGCATGAGGCCAAGCCTTGCCATTCAGGGATGCCAACTACCTCCAAGAAGCCAGGATGACCCGTGCAGTGCCACAACCATGAGCCAAGGTGGCGTCTGCCCAGGTTCGCGCCCCCGTTGCCCCAGTGCCACTCGCAGGGCATGAGACCCGTGGCCGGCACTTACTCTTCTGGACCACCGTGAGGATGATGGTGGCATTGTGCTGCGCCTTCTTCTCCTTGGGGTTCCGGACGTGGCAGGTGTATTTCCCAGCATCGCTGAACTCCACGTTCTTCAGGAGGATGGAGATGTTGTTGTCCTTCCCGGTCGTCGAGCCGACGAACTCGACCCGTGGGTTGCGTCCCACAAGGGAGGGCTCCGAGGCTTTGTTCTTTATCATGCCGTGGTAAATCTGTGGAGGCACAGATGCAGGATGTGGGTTCAGCTGGGCTCCCGACAACCTGCAGAGAGGGAAAGGCTCAAGTCCTCCTGCCGGTGCCCTGCCCCATCTCTGCACGCACAGATGCGCACGGCCAAGCATCCCGGCACACCCATTAAAGCAGGAACTGCCGCAGAGGGGGACCTGACGCACAGCCTGCCAGGGGAGCAACTGTCAGTCTGACCCACCTCACAGCGACGTGACACACCACGCGAAAGATGGGAGAACTCCAGGGCAGAGACAGTCCCTTTGCTCTAGAGCCATCCAGGGCTGGCCAGCCTGCGAGGACAGACCTGCTCTAAACCAGCCCTCCCACTATGGCACTGAAGGGCAGAATATTCCCAGCAGGAAGCAAATCTATACCTTTAGTATTTCAGAGCAAGCACAGGAGGAGAAAATTAACTATATTTAGCCCAAAGTGCAACCTTGCACCTGAACAGCAAATTTATGAGCAATTTATGAAAAGAAACGAGGCTGTGGGCAGCAGAAAATCCGGAACAGCTTTGTACCAAAAGCACCAATGGTCCAGGGTATTTGAGTCACCCCATTTGCTCAGCCCCGTCCTCCCAGAGCTGGAGCCGCTTGGAAGGACAGGCGTCCTGCGAGAGGAGCAGGGAACTCCTTGAGAATTACAGTGCTGGCCTGCACTGTGAAAGTACAAAAGGACCCACCAGGAAAACAGAGCAAAGCGCAGAGAGCCGGGACCCACCATCTCTGTCGAGTTGAAATACCATGTGAAGACCAGGTCCTGAAAGCCTATGCAGGTGGTGAAGGTGCAGGGCAGCAGGACATCGGAGTTATTCAGAGCCATCACAGTGTTGGTCTTCCCCACCGACACCTCCAAGGCGAAGGCGATGGCGAAGACATGCAAACCTGGCAGGGAAAGGGGAGGAGAGAGTGAGGACACGGTGCTGGTGCGCAGCTCAGCCCAGTCCTTCCCGGGGCTGCGATGCAGCCCAGCCTGCTGCCCGCCTCTGCTGCGACGTGCACCCTCGGGGCAGACGGTGCAGGGAGGAAAAGGGTGCGTAAGAGGGACCACTTCTCCCCTGCTGCAGCCCAGCCTCCGGCTGGAGCACCAGCCACAGTGGGGTCCCCTCCCAGGGAGCACACGGGGGGCAGTGGGACCCAGGGACCGACAGCATCCTCCTCCTCATCCTCCATCCAGCATTCTGCTCCTCAGCACAGGGGCCATGAGCCCAGTTCCCCTCCCAGAGCCCGGGACAGGTAGAGATAGGGGACGTGCTCCTGAAGGAAGGGCAGGGGCTGGTTGGCATGCACAGAGACAGTGTGGGTTCAAAGGGAACCATAATATCCCCGCAAATAAAGTATGCAAATGAAAGCCCTGATTTGCACGTTATCCACAAGGCCTTTGGCTGAACCTTAAAGGGGAGGAAAAAAGCCCAAAGCAAAGCAGAGCTCTCTGTTCTTCAAGCGGGGAGGTCGAGCGCTAATTAGCATCGCTGTCCTGGACGCCTGCCGCTCTGCCCGGTCCCGGCCCCAGCCAAGGGCTCTCTCACTCCGCGAGCCAGCGCAGCGGGCTCCGTGCAGCGCCTGTGCGGACCTCCGGAGCTGCCTCGCCAAAAGCTTCGCCTCCCGCCGTAGCTGAGAGATGACCTTCAAACTGCAGAACGCAGCTCTCACTCCTCTCCTCCCTGTTAGCAGTGAGGAACACGTGGAGGAGAAGGTATGAGCCCGGCTGCAAGAGTCGAGGGTATGGAGCCGAAGGCATGGAGCCAAGGGCATGCCTGAAAGCTCCCAGGGTCCCACGCAGGGGACTGGTGCAGTGTTCCTGTGCACCGGGCTGGGCCAGCGGTGTCCACATGAACCTTTCTGGCAGCACAGGAGTGCTTTGCACCAGGCCAGGTGAGCAGCCCCACGCCCCATCCCCATCACACAGTGTCCCTGTCCCACCTGTATGATGCGGTACCACCAAGACACAATACAGCCCAGCAAAGCATTGTCCTCCTCCTTCCCAGACCTCAGCCACCAAAGGGACCCAACATCCCTACAAAGCTTTCCCTGGGCACTCTGACAACCAAAACAAGGAGGCACAGTTCTTCCCATAGCTACAAGCTGGTCCCAGCTCCGCTGACACCTGAACTTGGATACACTGCCCTCAGCTTCACGTTCACGTCTCTCTGCAGCCGCTTCAGATGCTGATTTATTCTCTCACACATGCCCGTGCTAACAACTCCCCAGGCACGTCGCAGCCCAAGCCAAGCCCGAGAGCCCTGCATCCTGGGCTTCGGGCCCTGCTGCAGTGCTGCATTGCAAGCACTGCAGCGAAGGAGTTATTTAACTTTACAAAGAAGCACTTTCCATTTCGCTCGAGAGGCTGTAGCTAACGTCAGGGAGCGGTTCCCACCAGATGGAGGTCTCCTGCAGTTGTCAGGCTCAAAGATCAGCCCTGGGGGTGCTACAGAGGGGACTCCACGGCCGGGAGTGTCCCAGGGGAGTCATGCTGCTACCTGGAGTAAGACTTAGCAGAGAGATGCCTGGCTCTGCAGGTATGCCTGAGCAGGCAGGGTACTGCAAGGGGACCGTTACTTACAGGAAAGACGATTCCTTGCAGCTCGTAACACTTTTAATCCCGTCTGCCACCGTTATAATGTCATGAACGTCATCTGAATTGAATGTGTGGGGTAAGTGGAGGCTGATCTTGTTCTGTCACGCTGTGGTCTCAGGAAGACAGAAGTGGTATGTTACCACTAAATAAAGCACAGCGGAAAACGCACTGGGAGATTACCGACTGAACCTGCCGCACCAGCTGCCACCGTTACTTTTCCATATGCCCAAAGCTGCTGCACTTTGCACCCCTAGAGCCCCAACCTTCAGGGTGCAGGGCAAGCCCCTCCAGGGGCTCCAGGCTACCTCCCATGCCTGCAGGCACAAGCTTTCCCAAGAGACAGGGAAGGGGGACTGGGGAGCAGCCACTCTTGCTGCTGCCAGAGCCTCAGCTGCTTGCTCTTTGCTCTGGCAGCGGGTGAGCCCCTGGGGGAAGCCCCCCTGACGAGGGGTCCCAGAGCCACTGAGCTATGTGCGGTAGTGCTGGACGTGCAGCCCATGACCCAGCCCCAGTGATAGCAGCAGTAGCCCTCCAACACAGGCCGGAGTCCAGAGCAAGACTTTCCCCCCAGGGGCTGCAGACAACCCCCTGCTTTTCCTGCAGCCCATCAGGAACTCGGTCTGGGAACCACTGCCCTAACAGAAAGGACACATGGGATTCACCTGAAAAGCCATGGAACACCTCCACCATCTGTGAGAAAGCTGCTCCATACAAACTTTTGTTGCCCATAAAAATCTGTGTGACCTCCTGGCACAGGCAGCAGGCCATCCCGGGCAGGCTGGCCAGGCTCCTCTCCACTGGGGTGAGAGGGAAGGAGCTCCCAGGCCAGCCTGAGCCCGAGTATGATGTGCTCTGAAACAGGACACCCAGGACTGGCCCTTCCTGCAGGCACCGACGGAAGCAGCTGTTTTTGCCAGGAGCCCCCGGCCACTCGCCAGAGAGCGCGGCATCCCCGAAACGCACAAACACAGAGGGACACACCCAGACGCTCTCCCTTTCCCACCTCCTCCTCCTCAAGGGTCCTGGCCCACCTGAGTGACCTGTGGGACAAGCTCTGGACCCCAGACCCCCCAGTGCCCTGGTCTCCAGCGCCTGTGAGTCTCTCCTACTGCCCGCTGCCAGCCCCACGCCAAAAGCAGCTTGCACTGCGTCTATCTGAGGGACGCACTTTCAACCAGGGACCAGCACCCAAATCCTGCAGGGAGCCTGGTACTTACATGTCTTTTCATGTCTCCAGCTCACTTAAAACAAACTCCAGAACTATGCCCTCTAAAACATCTCTCAAGGGAGCTTCCCAACAGCAAGTGCTGCAAAGGCAGCCCGTGGTTTCAGGCTCGCTGTGCCAGTCGACACAAGGATGACCTACACGAGCAGAAGCGTAGCTGGTGCGTGAGGGCT